AAGTGGGTGCTCCTACCTTGTCCCCTGACACCTGCTCCATGCCCACGTTTTGATGCAGCTGCACTAATGATGGAAAGCCTTCAATTTTAGAAAAAGATTTATTGTATTGTCAATGAGAGTGTAAATTGGTATAACTCTTATAGAAGGCATTTAGGCAGTTATCTATCAAGATTATAAATGCACATACCTTTTGACCTAGTAATGCTACTTCAGGAAATTGTCCTACAGTCACGGCTGCACATGTTCAAAATGTTGTATTTTTAAAGGAATTCAATTACAGCCTTGTTTGCAACAAGGAAAAACTGAAAACAAATCAAATGCCCCTCAACAGGGGACTGGTTAAATAAATTACACAATGTATTATTAAGCAAGTGTAAAAAAAAAAGAATGACATTCTCTACATATCAATATAGAAAATTTTCCATATTGATAGGTGAAAAAAACAAGGTGAAGAATAGTGAGTATAATACTACATTTTATGAATAAAGATGGGAGAGGGAAATAATACTTTCAATATATAAAGAAACTTTGGAAGAATATACAGAAAAATAAGCCTAGTAACAGTATTTACCGATGAGTGAGATTGGAACTAAGCAGATGGTGGGTAAGGGTGAAATTTGGTGATCAATAGCTAATTTGCAGCTTGATTTATCCTGATATTCTGCTGTTTCTTCTTTGTTTCTCCTCCCACTGATTAACTGAAGAACTCTGTTTGTTCCCTTTTTCAAGGCTACCCATGCCTTGTTAATTAACAAACCCCCCCCAACCTGAAAAGAGCAGCTTCTTTAATCCTCAGGCCCCTGGAAGTCGAGTGGGGGGGCGGGGTGGACATCTGGCACCCAGTATCACTACTCCCTAGCAGTTTTTCCGCAAATCGCTATGGACAGTAAGATTGAAGATAACATTGAGACAGATCTGAGGCCTCAGAAGACCCCAGGAGATGACTTCTCAACTATTAGCCCTGAGGACTGCTTTCCTTTTGTTCTTTCCCATTTACCTGCCTATAAAACCTCTTAATCATTTTTGCTCGGGGAAGGTGGTTTTTTAGACACAAGTCTGCCATCTTCCCTAGCTGCCGACATCTAGAATAAAGGACGCCTTTCTCCTCACCAACCCTTGTTCCTCCGGTGTTTTGGACTCTTCCGGCGGCAGGCAGCACAGAACCTGAGTTCGGTAACAGTAGGGCTGGGGTAGGAGGTGCACTTTTCACTGCATGCATTTTCAAATGTTTTCAATTTTTAGAGTCATGTATGCAGTTCTTATATTCCATTTTAATTAGCTCTACATAATAACCAGGTCTACCACAAAGACTCACCGAGCATTCTCTGTGTGCCAGGCTCAAGAGGGGACACAAAGACATATAAGACTCAGTCCAAAGACTTCTAGCATTAAAAAAAAAGAAATCCCATTTATATAATGTCTATATGCAAGAAAAGCCTATAAAATTCACTTTAATGTTAACAATGTTTGTTCTTCAATTACAAAAAAAAAATGTTTGTCTACTTAGGGCTGAAGGTATCACCACAGTACAAAGAACAATTCACATAACTGTGAAATTGAAGCCTCGTCTTACTGCCCAGGCAGCGGGGACTCTAAGCAGCTAGTGAGAGTTCAGGCTAGAACAAACAAATGATTGTAGCTGTCAGTGGAAATGTACACATTAACCTAGCAATGAATTTGTCAATAATTACCATCTATTTACTTTGTCCACACTGGTACTTAAGCTGTAAAATCTCAGGAAGAAGTCTGCCACAAACAGTTGACATTTATTTTAACAAACAGTTTAGTAAGCAGGGACTGGTAGCATTGGGAGGATTGGATGCCAAAGTTCCTGAGACCTTTGGGTCCATTAAAGTCTGTGAAGCCAACAAAACCTGTGTGTTCAGATTCCATCAGCTCCTCAGGGCACTGAAAAGAACAGAAATTGCCCTAATATTTAGAACTTGCTTCCACAAACAAGAGATTCCAAACTCAATCTAATTGTCCTTTTGGAAGAAAAAACAGCCTCTTTCCTTACACATTTCACGGCATTCAGTAAAAATCTCTGTGTGACTACCAACTACCAGGCACTGTTCTACACTTTGAGTAGCACTGGTGATTATTTATAACCAAAGGCCAGTCTCCACCTCTTTCTTTGGAGGTGATGGAAAGAAACTCCTGGGATTCAGTGTCTGATGATGGGTCAGACAAGTGTCTCCACGTGATCACTAGAATGTATTTTTTTATCCAGCTCAGTGGCTCCCTAACCAGTAGCTTCTATTTGATTTAAATTGGAGCCCAGAAAATAAGTACCTTCATATTTTAGTGTTACAAGATTTTAGAACTGTAAGAGATCTTAGCAGTACCCTAGTTCAATTCATTATTAATGACTCTTGCTGGTAGGTTAATACTGCATCGTGAACAAACAGTTCTTAAGCTAGTTACAGAAAATTGTCTAAATAAATCCAGTCTACAGGCTACTTGATGTATTTGAGCTTTAACTCATGGGGTTCTGAGGTTGATATCGTGAATTTAAAAGAATCTCTTACTTAGAGATAAATAATTATCTTATTATAATATATTTATACTATTTATCACATATGCATATATTACACATATTTGTATATTTGTTATAATATATATCTAGTTATCACAAGCTGGTTTAAGGAGGAAAAAGTGAGGGTCTGGAATCAGAGTACTTGAATTCAAAGCCCAGCTCCAACTCTTTGGGAATCCTGTGACAGTGGCAAATTATTTACTTTTATATGTAAAATGGGGAAATCATAAAATTTATTCATAGCATTGTTATAAGATTAAACTAAGTAATTCATTCAACAATTATGTACCAGGCATTGTTAGGCACTGGGGGTACAGTGAGTAAATGAATGTGCAGGACATTTAATAAACTTGGACTGATTTTATCTAAAAGCACATACACAGGCTTGGGATTGCATATAAAGAAGTTCTGAGCTACAGAAATAGGAATGAATTATTTATCAGATCTCCAAGATCATGGAGTTGAAACGGTGATGAACATACAATAGTATCCAATTACAAGAGAGTATTGTCTGATTGAGGCTCAGAAGCAAAATACACCTGTTGATTGATTCAATTTATGCAGCATATTAATTTTCTATGCACTAAAACTGATCGTCAGGTGTTTTTAACATCTCTTTCAGAACAACATTCATGTAAACTTAGAACAGCAATAAAAGCATAAATAAAAACTGAAAGGTGTGGCTCTTGTAGATGGTTATTAATACTGGTGATAAAATATTTTTTAAAACAAGGTCATTCATTCTTTTCTGAGAGAATTAAAAATTCCATTCCACCTATTAGATACTTTTGCCCCTCCCCAAAAGTTAACATTCCTGCAATATATGTTTTCATAGATCTAAAAACCTATAATGATGATTTAATGCTCTGCTTTTTAAATTAGGATGCTATTCTTAGGATACCTAGGGCATGGCAGGGGATAGGAGAAACTAAAATAATGCGGTGTATCTTCCTAAAGTATGAGCTTCCTGTTTTTCATATTTAAATCAACAAGGATTTAACATGGAACAGAATGCATAATCCACCTGATTTCACAAAATAAAACATGAAACATCAAAGAAATTGCTCATTGCGCCAGCCTCTTCAGAGCGTATTTGGGGTACAGAGGCTTTTGTCTCTTTAGGAGAAAGGTTAGCAAATGCGGTACATTAGGAATGGATTTTTCCATCTTTTCACATTGTTGTCAGTGACAAGAAGTTTGAAATCACTTTTACATATGGCATTAGATTTTTGCCTATTTCCACATCTTTTTATTGCTTTCATTATCTACTGAAGTTAGAAATAAATTATCACAGACCATGAAAATGACTGTAATAAAACATTTCTGACTAGGACTCTGAGTTTTGAAACAACATTCATGAAAACCCTGCAAAACTCTACTACAAAATCAGAGAGGAAGATATTTCTGTTATTGGAATAATGCAAGGTGCTAAAAGAAGACCTGTAAAAAGGAATTAACCAGAGTATAAAATTTCCCCTAACTTTAGCCTTGAAAATGACTGTAACCTAGTTTGAAGGAATTTACTTAACCTTCAGAGCTTTGTCGAAAATATTAGCCATTCAAAATGTAAGAAATGAGTCAGTTGTAAAATCTAGCCATTCTCTATTTCATTAATCTGCTTGTATTCTTTTCACAGCACTTATCTCTGTCAGAAACTATCTTAATCATTTACTTAACTTGTTGATTGTCTATCTCTTCCACCTCCAAACCGCAAAAGTAGGGTCACTTGTATCTCCAGCATCTAGCCAAGCACCTACCTGGCTAGTTATACAGTTGACATTCAAAATATACTTATAAAGAGAATTTCTTTATAAGATTCAGCGGTGACCACTTTTTATCACGTGCATATTTGTCAAGAAATATTTAAGCCAAAGACATGGGAAAGTGTATCTGACTTCTTCAAAAGTTCAGGAACCAATCTGAAGGAGCCCATCTGTACTTTCAGCAGCCTTTGCCATCTCGGATGCTGAACCGCTGACGGGAGGGCAAGGCGGAAAGGTCTTGATAGAAAAATGGGTAGACATCTCTCCTTACGACCAGAAACTAATGGTTCCCAGTTAACTTGAAACTTTATAGAATCTGAAGTTTCGTACTTTTTGGAGATTAAATAACACCTATTGTTAAGGGCAGGAAATTACTCATCTGTTGAAGAGAATGCGGCGGCGGCAGGGATGCAACGCCAATTCCCTGCAATCACACCAGCTGACAGGGTAACCCCAGCTCCCGGCCCTGGGCCTCGAGCGTCTGGGCGCGCGCGGACCGCCGCACCCGGAGTCACAGTAGCGCTGTTCCAGATTTCGGGAGGGAGTCACGCTGTGCTCTGGGTTCCCTTTCCAACCTCAGAGAGGAGCCCGCCCCCTGCTGGGCGGAGTGGGAACGAGTCGCGCCTTTCGGACCCCCCAGGGAGCGAGCCCACCCGAATCCCGAGGCCCAGGCGGGGGGTGGGGTCGGGTCCCCTGCTCACCACTGCGGAGCCTGATGCTGTCGCCGGCCTTGTTGAGGGCGCTGCTGGAGCAGCCCATCCCGGCGGCGCGGTCTCGGGCAGGAGTCAGGCCCCGCGCGCGAGCGCAGCCACCTGTCCCAGCCCCACCCGGTTTCGGCCCTCGGAGCCCCCCGCTGCCCTGAAGCCCCAGTGTTTGCCAGTCCAGCTCCCGCGGCTTCAGAGCGCAAGCGCACAGAGGCGCGCCGGGCTGCCGGTGCGCACCTAGGCAGGAAAGGGAGGCACACCAAGTGCAAAGGAGCTGGGGAGCAGACAGCGAACAAGCAGAAGAGGATAGGGACAAGGAGCCAGGAGGGGAGAAGGTGGACGATGTGCTAAAGGCAGAGAGGAAAACGGCCTCTGAAGCAGGGATAGGGATGATGTCGGGGGAGAGAGTGAAAGGCTGGGAAGAATCGTGTGAACCATCACTAAATAGCTGGGCGGGGAGGAGGCGATTATGGTCAGTGGCTATTGATTGGTAGACTAGATTTTGCGCCGACAGCCTTAATCTTACATAATTTCAGTACAGTTTCCACAAAGGTTGACGTTGGTACGATACTATTTAATTCATCCTCATATTCAACCTTGGTCAGTTGTCCAATTCAGGACCACATATTGCCTTTAGTCGTACTTTAGTTTGCTTTAATCTGAAGTAGTTTTCCCAGTCTTTGTCTTTCATGACCTTGACATTTTTTTTTAAGAGAACAGGCCATTTATTTTGTAGAACATTACTCAGTTTGGGTTTGTGTAATGTTTCCTCATGATTGTTTTCAGGCGATGCAGTTTGGGCTGGAATACACAGACGTTATGTTATCTGTGTATTCATATCAAGTGACGCATGATGTAGTTAAGGCAATGTCTGCCAAGTTTCTCCACTGTCAAGTTACTATTTTACTCTGTAATTTATGGGGAGAGACTTACTAAATATCCTATTTCACATCAAACTTTTATCTGCCACTTTCAGCATATATTAATATTCTTGCTTGGATCAATTATTTTTATGATAGTTATGAAATGAGTTTTTCTAATTACGTTATTCCTTCTACATTTATTAGTTGATATTCTACTTTAATGGAGCACTTTCCCTTTTCCTCCATTTATTCATTTATATCAGTAAATACTCATGAATTTTTACATTATTCAATGGGTTATGTTACAACTGTGTTAGTTTGTTAGGGCTGTCATAACAAAATACCACAGCCTGGGTGACTTAAACAAAAGAAATTTATTTCCTCACAAGTTTGAGGCTAGAAGTCTGAGATCAAGGTGTGGGCAAGGTTAGTCTCATTCTGAGGCCTCTCTCCTTGGCTGGTACATGGCAGTCTTCTCCTGTGTCTGCACATGGTCTTCCTGCCATGCATGTCTGTGTCCTAATCTCTTCTTATAAGGACACTAGTCATATTGTATTGGGGCTCACCCATATGACTTAATTTTACCTTAATTACCTCTTTAAAGGCCGTATCTCTAAATATATTATGAGGTGCAGGGGGCTAGGACTTCAACATATGAATTTTGGGGTGACAAAATTCAGGCCATATACCATTATTTTGATGCTCAAATTGTCTAAAATTTGGCATATTACCTTTAAGGGTCATGTGATACAAAGCTATGGTCTTTACCATATGTTTAGAGGTCTCTCCTCTTCCTCCCTCCCTCTCTCCTTTCTTTTCTTCCCTTTCTCTTCTTTCTGATTCCCTCTCCTTTCTCACCTTCTCCCTCTTCCTGTTCCTCTCTCTCCTGCACTGTAGGCCTGACAAAGCCTTGGCCACCCAGCAATTAGTTCACAAATCCCTCGAATGAAGAGGAGACGGGAGACTTTTGTGCAAGGACCCTTCATAACATTACACTTTATTTAAATTGTTTTAGAAGTTGCCTGGGGTATCTTACTTTTCCTTGGATATAATTTGTCAGCCAAGTCATGGTCTCTTCCATTTTCTTCAGGGGAAGCATTTTACAATCAGGTGAACAATAATAATCAGGTGTCCTGTGGATGTTAGGAAGTCTTTCCCATGAGACACTCTAGTTTTTGCTCAATGGGCTCAGGAATAAAATGGCTCTAGAAACAAGGATAGCAGTCAAGTATGGGCTGAACACCATGTTCCTCCACTTACCATGCTTTACCTGGCTGAGTGCCCAGTTTGCCAATAGCAGCAAGAGTGATCAACTGTAAGCCTCTGAAGTGGTACCCATTCTTTCATGGGACCTATTAGCCACCTCATGGAAGATTGATAGGACCTCCTTGGGGACAGTAGATAACCTTTACTGTAACAGACATTGGATTAGATTTACTTTTCTTGCCCATTATGCATTATTTTTCCAGCACCATCTATTAGTGTGGATGGTATCATCAAGACAACACACATCTATCAAGACATTACATTCAGTTTTGTACCTTATCAAAGAACTCACTTTACTGTGAGACAAGTAAGGGAATAGGTTCATTTCTGTGGTTTACTGGTCTTTTCATATACCTTGTTATCCAGAAGCTAAACCTACAGAGTGATGGAATGGCACATTAAACACTTTTATGGCACCAGCCAAGATTAAACACCTTTGACATTTGTGGTGCTGCCCCGTGGTTTGCAGAGTGTGCTCTATACCAGAGATTAGTAAATGGTTCTGCTTTCTCCATGACCAGTATAGGCAGATCTGCATCTTGCTCTCCAGGCTTCTTGTTCATTTGGTGAACTACAAAACAAACTCCTTTTCTGCTTAACTAAGCTAATTTGTTTCTGTTGCTTACAAAAGTATCTAGACTAATATATATATATATATATATAT